AAAAACGAATATAACACAACACAAACACATGTGTTCGTATCCATGTACGCATTACAAATTATACCTAACCCATTTACACTTTAAAGCAATAAAAAACATATCCACCCCCAAACACACAAAACCACAGCAACAACAAAAACCATGAAGAATATTACTCAACAAATAACGTTTCCGCGCGAAGCGCGGACAAACCACTAGTATCTGCATATAACTGTGTATGAAGGTAGTAAGAGAAAACTATACAAAAGATCTCTCCTCCTCCAGGTAAGAGAAACATATGTTGTTCTCCTCTCTACATGTATAAGATCAACATAAATAAACCATAGAAGCAGTAAATAATCTAAATAACCTCCAAGGAATCTAAAAGGGTGTTCATGTATCTGTATGTTACTCAAGTATTTGCTTCTGTTACTATCTCATTTTGATTAGCTTCTGTGCTTTCTCTAGGCAGCTCTTTGTTCTGACTTCTCCTTCTTCTTCGTTCCTAATTGAATAACCAATAATTAAAATTACAGTTTTAATCATATAACTTTTTGTTGTTGTAGAGTGCTACCTCTGTAGGCATGACAGGGTATTCATCTGATTCAAGCATTCTAGCCACTTGACTCATCTTAGGCCTCTTGTCTGCATCAGGATCAACACATCTCAAAGCTGTCAAAAGCGCTCTTTTAAGTTCGCTCTTAGATGGTTTGATCTCAATCTCTTTATCCACCACTTCTTCAAACTGTTTCTGCTGAACCATCAACTTCAACCAATCCACCATATGCACCTAAAAACATTTCATAAAACAAGATCAACCCTCTGATCCATTTCCTCTCAATTTCAAAGTGTATGAGTGCTTTGTCTACCTCTTCTTTAGGTCGTGCATAGTCCACAGGGTACCTTCCAGTAATAGCTTCCAAGAGAACAACACCAAAGCTGTACACGTCACTCTTCTCGTTTAGGAGACCAGAGTTAGCGTATTCAGGCGCCACATATCTGAATGTTAAACATAGAAGTTGTAAGTAACTAATGGAGATTACTATAAGGTCAAGTTAAAAGCTATAACTCACCCGAATGTACCCATAACACGAGTACTCACGTAGCTTCTATCAGCTCCAAGCAGTTTAGCTAAACCAAAGTCAGATAACTTGGCGTCGAAGTTATCATCCATCAGTATATTCCCTGATTTGATGTCTCTATGCACCACTTTCGGCTCAATAGCTTCGTGGAGATAAGCCAGCCTGTGTCAGCCGCAACACATCATTCTCATAAGCTTACACTAACCACAAAAAAAAAAAAACATGAATCATCATGAAGCTTACGCTTTAGCAGTGCCAACTAGAACTTTGATCCGTGCCTCCCACGTGAGATGTCCTTGGTGGCTCATGTCTCCGTGTAGCCATTGCTCTAAGTTACCATTGTTCACGTACTCGTAAACCAGCATTCTGTGTGTTCCTTCAACGCAGTATCCAAGAAGCCGAACTAAGTTCTTGTGCCTGACATGTCCTATTGCTTCCACTTCAACTCTGAAGTCTTTATCGGCTTGCCCTCTACATGAAACAATAAGAATGCTAATCTCAGATATCATATGAGCAATAGGCCTAGGCATTTATCCAAAACCCGAAAACCGGAAAAAAAAAAAGAAATGAAAAGTTACAACAAACCGAATAATTAATTCATATTTCACTAAACCCGAAAACCGAAACCAAACTGGAACAACTCCAAATACAAAAATATAACTTGTTTACCTAAAAATAGTATTTATATTTAATTCTAAAATAACTGTAATTCTAAAAATATAATTTATAATCTAAAAACTGTTCAAAAAATGAAATACCCAAATATTTTTCGGGTTTAGTTCAGGTTTTCCGGTTGTATCATTTTGTGGGTTTAAATCTGAACCAAATCCAAACCGTATGTAATTCGGTTTTGATTCTGGTTTCATACAGAAATATAAAATCAACCCGAACCCGACTAGATCCAAAATCCAAAATATGAAAAATACTTGTCCAAAATGGGTCTAAAGGAATCCAAACCAAATAACTCGAATCATAAACCCGAATGTCGTCCATAAGCACTGAAAAGATAAAGAAAGTTGGTATGGTATATCTTACGGATTGTTGAGCAACTTTTTGACAGCCACAGAGGTATCGTTAGCTAAAGTTCCATGGTAAACAACACCATAACCACCATCACCAATGATATTCTCCTTAGCAAAATGATTAGTCGCGAGCTGAAGGTCACGGAGAGTGAACCAATGACCCCAACCAATGTGAGAACCCTCCGGAAGACCAGAGAGAGGTGAATGAGCTGTTGCTAAAGGAGTAGTAGCCTGAGACATATGTGACCCAGCCAGTGTCTTTTTCTCTAAAGAACCACTATTCTCAATGTCTCTCTCGTTGAACTTCTCATCTAGAGTCTGATGAGAAGTTCCATTGTTGTTGGACAGAACATGATCAACACTTATGTCTTTGATTTCTTCTGGAAGGTGAGGGCTTTGCGTTATGGGAAGGTGTGCGAAGTTGGATCTTCTTGATTTTTTACGGAAGCTTAGCCATACTGAGATGACGAGGATTAGTATGAAAGCTGCAAAGAGAGCAATGACTATGATCTCCCATAGTTGAAGAGCACCGTATCTCTTGGTTAGAGTTTGTTTCAGCTCAGACGCCATTATAGTTCACAAGATTTGTATGTGTATATATAAACCAACCTGTAGAAGTTGAAATGAATCATTAACATAATAGAAAACGAATGTTAAGGGAACAAATAAATCTAAACTAGAACCTAACTGACCAGAGGAACTATGAAGATATTGAAG